AGAGAGAGAGAGAGAGAGAGAGAGAGAGAGAGAGAGGGACTAATGCAGGAAAAAACAGATTGTTGCAATGTGACAAATATATGAAAAATGGCATGATATAATAAACTCCCGAAAGTTAGAAAATGTATAATTTTATAACAAATTCATTGCAAAATAATAACGCATATTATAAAAAATATTAAACTATTTATTACAAACAAAAAGAAAAAAGCGAAGAAAAGAGCAAGAAATATTGTAAAAACACAAAATTATAGAGACATTAAAATTATACGATCTGGAGCGTCTGGATCTGTCTACCTGTGTTATTTTCCTAACTTTATTTATGTCTACTAATTAATCCGGGAATATTGCTAGGCGGCGTTTTCCAAGTAAAGTCTAATGGGAGGCTCTCGAAAAGCTGACGATTACCGGGTTCTGCGTTGATGCAACACGGTGTTATTTTATTTTCTGGCAAACGACCCGACTTCCGGTCCCGCCGCGGAGCCCAGATATTATTACGAGGTCAAGAACGCTCGGGAAAAACCAGTTGAGACCGTATCTGTAATCCCGGCGTAACAAACAGCGACACGCAATCAACAAATTAAATGAATCAAAGATCTGAACAACACACGTGTATATAATATCTCATTCGTAATTTTTAACAATCAAGAATTTTAATATATATATAATTCAATATTTATAACATTGATGATAAATGTTTTAGATGTATAGGTATAGAAATTTATATATCACACAGATATATAAATATATAGATAATATTGTCATATTATATCATATTTCTACTATAATATTATTACACAATATAGTATTTTAATTATAGTGCAATTATTTATATGTATATGTGTGTGTGTAGTGTACCTTTTCAAATATATATTTTTAAAATCAATGTTATTAAGAAAGGAGCATAAAATCTACATAGGTTCTTATAGTAAAAAACAATTCTTTATATCATCAATTTATTTAATAATAAAGGAATAAACGTTTTGACTTTATCATCAGGTCATCAGTATCGTTCACAATTTAAAATTCACAAATAATTAATCTAAACAGTCATGTCAAATGATAAAACCTATAAAGTTATGTTTACTTTTAAAATGTGCAGAATAAATTTCCAGATAAAATAAAGTTTCATATTTTACTATACTCTACTGTTTATTTTTTCTTCACATTACTAAAGTGTATATGTACTGGATCTTTGTGAACATACAGATAGACTCTAACACAATTAATTCGCGCGTGAAAGTCGCGCACGCGAACGAACAAATGCCCTGACGGTGGTAAATCGACGTTACATCTCGTTACATTCTTTCGCGTACAGCGCTTACAGCTGCTCGCCAACAATGCACCACAGGACGCATTTTTATGCAGCAATAATCGAACCGCGGGGTGCAACCACGCGGGGTGGCGGGATCTTAAATGTTTTCCATAATTGAATCGCTTGCGGCCTTTGCTCTCAAAAAATTTCCTGGATTTTCCGTCTTTTGAAAAATTCCTGTTTTCCCGCGTATTAGCAGAACAGTCGTTATGTTATATTTTAAAAAATATAACATAGCGGAATATAATTAGTTTACAATTTAAGGTGACCAACCGTCCAAAATTAGGAGAGACAGTCCCAAATCTTAACTTTTCGTCGCACTTTACAATGTATGCTAAATTTTGTCCCAGTGTGAAACATAATTTTCAACTATGATTTTTAATATGTGATGAATTTTTTATTTAAAAATCCAGATATTATTCATAAAATACATTCAGTGTAAAAAAGTACTTATATAATTTAAAAAAATAAAACGTAATCTCGTAATTTGATGTAATTGTTGTTATAATCTCAGATAATGTTATACATTATAAGTATTACTAGTTACTTACAAATATAATTAATGTTCGTATATTTTATTAACAGTTGTTTAAAAATGTTCATCTACAATATTAAAATTTAATTACAACAATTAATACTAAATTTTTGTAAATGTCCCTCTTTTCCTTGAGAAGTTATAATCACCTTAGTTTACATTGAAACCGATTTCTCTGCGTGCTTCTATGTCTCAATTGAATCTTAAGGTATTCTTATCTCGCAACAAGCGCGAGGCGATAAGAGTAGTTCCTGTTCGCAACAGAAAGGTTCTTTTCCGCGGAATCTTATGCATATTAATGCGCTTCTAGATAAGGCAAGGCAGTATCATTATACGTTAAATCTTACGCGATGTGCATATTAACATAAGTATGAAACATAAGCAGGAAAATACGTCGAGTCTTCCGACGCAAGAATATTTATAACACACGTGTCCTTTATCCTCATAAGAATATCGCGAGCTCTATACTCGTATTATATTTTTAGATGAGACCACAACTTTATACCTTTCTTATTTTATATAATAGTGAAACTTATTTATAATAAACGTTACTAATAATAAATCAAATAAGAAAACATCAAATACAATCGAGGCTAGATATCGATGTCTAATCATATTTCTTATTATCAAATCAACGAACAATTTAATTTATAAGATAATTATTTCAATTTATAAGTGTAAGTTTAAGTAGATAATCGGCGCGCAGTTTATATAATTAAAAGATAAATTAAAAAATTTACATAAAAAAATATTATTAAGCAACAATATCTAACCTCGATTTTTTGGCGCTTTCTTACTTATTTGATTTATTCGTACCTTGTTTAATCTATGATTGTTACTCATAATAAAATTCGAAAGAAATTATTATCATGCAAAATTCTTACTAATATTCTTTAAGCAATTAGATTAAATCGACATAAAATTGTTTTCTTAAAAATCGTGCGCTTTATACCATTTTAAGTCGGTGTGACGGGCGTTTCGTGTTTTCATAATCAAAGTAAAACAAAAAAATCATGACGACATTAAAATGACGTCAAAATAGCTATAAAACGATCATTAAAAGTCACTTTTTAATTAGTCACGATTTATTTAAATATCTTTTTGACATTATCATGACTTGTTCTGCTTGGATAATCACGACGATATCTTCGCCTTTAGCATCGCGAAACGAATCGTCGGGATATGTACATTCCGAGCGGCAATGAGACGCGTAAAAAGTCGTCACGACGAGGATCGGCGAGGAGAGGAGTGGACGACATACAACATCGTCATTAGTCATCACCGTCGCCTTCCTCGTTCTCACGAGGAAAGAGCAGTCGGCAACATTTGTTTTTCTCCTTCTGCACACGGGCGTGACGATCATTATCGTCGCATAATAGGTCGTCGTAATAGGCGATATTTAAACTGTAACGCGCCGTGTAACCCTTTCTCATTTGCATTAGCGAGCGGAAAAAAGCAAGAGTGCAGAAAAAGAAGAAAGAGACGAGCGAGCGCCGCGAGAAAAGGGGTGAAAAATCGGCAAGGGCGGGCGAAGAACATACCTAAAATATCCCGAGACAAACGACCGGCTATTTCACCGGCCCTTTTGTTTCTCGATGGGCGTCACCAGCAGCGCCTTTTTGCGCCTGGTCCACTATATCGGGGCCCCGTTAACATTCGTCAACGGTAAAAAAAAAAAAAAAAAAAGGGGCGTTATAGAGGCATATGGTCAGCATGGCGCATCGTCTTTTATCTCTCGGTCCAGTTTTATACGCTTGATTTTTACGAATGTGCACATAGAATGCGTGTGCCTCCGCAGGATCATTTCCGACTATAAATTCTGCGGTCCCTCAAGACAATGTTTGAAAAAGGACCCGCTGTGAGCTAAAGGGTAAGCACAATCGTTGCATCACCTTGACCTGAGGATACACAAAAACGTCTCCCAAAAATCATTTTCCAGCAGTTCTCAAGAGTCTATGTAAAGTTTAGTTTTCTTTGTACATTCTTTGTAATTCTATCAAAATTTTCTATGCATTTTTTAGTTTAACTTTTCTAGATTTTATGTCTTTACACTTATATATAGATTGCTTTTCTTTGAATTCTTTTAGTTTACCTTTTAGATCGATTTTAAGCTATCCTTCTGCTTGAGTTTCCCAAATCTTTGTATTTCAAAAATAATTTTAAACTTGATACTAACACGATCAAAGATAATATCGCAGTGCTATTTTTTTTTTTAAATTTAACGTTAAGACTTGTGAGCTTCCTAGCTTTATTATTACGTGGATTCAGCTCTCTCCTCTCTCATTCTTTTACAGTTCGTTGAGCAAAGGGTTAAAAGCTTCGTCATTATCAGGCACCGCACGCGCTTTCTCTATCGCGCGTTTATCTCGATCGCGAATAAAATCTCTCCCTTAATTATTACGTCGCCCGACAGGGCACGTCGGTGGGCACAATGCACGAGGGCACGTGTGGTCGCGCGCCGCTCTTTATTCCCTCGCTCATTGTCGATTAAAACAAAAAGAAGGCCGCGGGTCGTCCCGTAAACAACATGCCGCGCTCCATGTGCAGGATCTAATGAATCGCTTCCGTTCCATTACGTTTCCTTTGCAAAAGGAGATCCGACACGAAAGAGACTGTGGAGTCAGGAAAAAATTTAGAGTCATAATAACGTAACAAATGAACAATGAACAAAGATAGCAGTTGCATTTTTTTTAGCAGAAAAATTAACAAATACTTTCAATATTACAATCACTCTTATTTTTCAGTCTTAATTATCTTTTAATTATTAATTCAATTCGTATTATGTATAAAAGTATATATGTATAGTCTCTAGAATTTTTTGAATGAATCTCTTTCTCATTCTGAAAAGTGAAATCTCGCTTTTAAAGATTAAAAATTAAAAAGTTCTTTTTCAAGACTAGCTCAGTTTTCACTCTTTAGAGTGAAATTTCATTCCAAAGAATTTAGAGAGTAACACGTTAAAAATGTTAAAAATTAGAGAAAGATATAATAATATATATTGCAAAATTTTTTACATTTTAGGAAAATTGAATTCGCTTTCTAAAATGTGTTATATCTATATATTATATCTATATGAATGAACTATGGAAAAAATATTCGCAAAAACTGCAGATTTCAAAAATCTGAAAAAGAACAAAGAAGCTATAAAAGTTCTAGCAGGTTACTAGGACTATCCGTTCGACCTTTGCGAGAGACGGAAAGATTTATGAGCCATTATGTACTGTGTGACTGGCGGAGCGGTTTCGAGGCATCTGGCGGCGTTTAACGGATTTCTATGGCGCTAATTGCCGCTAGTGCCCACTAATAGCAACGTGGCTTTTACTTTCCTGTCGTTTATGAGTTGTAACAAAGTTACGCGAAAGAACAACGCCTGATCTCGAAGGATATTTGAGTTGGAAGCGCAAGATTTATTTTATTCTTTCGATCTGCGATGATGAATAATTAAGTTTTAAAACATGAATACGTAAGATAACTTCTTTTTATTTTTCATTTAATTGTAAATTTAATAAAAATTAATGTCATTTTAATAGAATTTTATTTGGTATTTAATGTTACTTCTGAATATTTCTATTCTTAAAAGTTTCGAAAAAAGATTATATAGGTACGAAACTTTACTAAGAAAAAGTAAACCATAAATTAATCAAGAAATCCATTTCTAGATTTGAATAATTTCCTAATGAATTTTTCATGCATTACATTGTAAATACGGTTTGCATCATGAAAAATATAAACTTAGGTATAATAGATATAAAATATTTCAGAACAAGTTGATTGTTTCTTTAAAAATATATATAATGTAGAAACTTGCAAAAATTACGGAAAAAGTTATTGAATAGCAATCGAATAATCTGCAGGAATGTTTTCGGACACTCGAGAAAGGAGTAGCGCGCGCAGTTTGCAAAATGGCGTCGTGACGACGCCGCTATCGATCGTGATGGCGACGCCGAGAGGCGTCGGCTATACAGCGTCGGCGTACGAAATTGCTAGTTGACGACCTGAAGAGACAGCCTTAGGACAAAATGTCGTATACTGTTTTGATTTTGCATCCATTATTTGAGAGCTGCGGTTCTTAACTGAAAAATTGCAGAATTTTTCTAAATTTTAGGAAAATCGAATTCTCTTTCTAAAATATTATTTATATGATCAAACTGCGGAAAAAGATTCGTAAAAATTGTGAATTTCGAAAATTCAGAAAAGAACAAAAGAAACTATAGAAGTTCTTCCATGTGTGACTGTACTAATAACTAAATACCCGTCGCTACGTCAGTTATGTTACGTTTGAGTCGCCCTTTGATTTCTAATTTTCAGCCAATTTCATGGATAACAAATTCGTTCGTTCGACACGAAGATAAATTGAGCCAGGTTGAAAACGGACCCCCGTGGTGCCCTAGGAATTCCTGGGGACCGGATGCGCGGGTGACACGTCGGCGCCATTGTTCGAGAAGTGGTGGCCGGATACTGATGGATACTAAATTACAGATTCGAAAGGTTGCGGAGCATCTACGTCTGTAACGGACCCTAATTTGGCCGCTAGTACGAACCAATTACGACCGCACGGTAATATTCGGGAACCGCCGTTTCAAGATTCGAGCTGTCGGGGTCGTAGGCTCCCGTTGAAACTCAACGGAGGTAGTCCATTCTCTTACCAGTTTGGTAATATTTATGAATGTCACACAAAAAGTACTCAGGTCGTAGAAGAAATGTCATTTTAAAATTTTCGGACTTTTAAGTTCGAAACCAACGCTGTGTGTTTAAGAATTCCTTTTCTTGCGGACAATTATATACCTTTATGACAAGGTATTATATTTAAGGATGGATTTCTAATGGCGAAGGCAAACGATTGAAAACTGATTGTCTTTCATTGGGATGAGGTCCACGATAATCGAGATAGGGATGTTCCGATCTCCGAAGGACCAATCTTCCCAAACAATTTGAACAGTTTTTTAACCGATTTATTTTGTGAATAATTGATTTTTCTAATTAAAAAGAGCTCTTTTAGATCTGTTTGTAAAGAATCGCTTCTTTTTTTTTTTTTAATAAAGAGAGTTATTTCGAAGCAATCTTCGCAAGAGAACCGATTTTTAACGAATCGATCTGGAGATCGCACTTCCCTAAACATCGAGATGGTCTTGAAAGATCGGTGCCCGCACTTACCTTGCCGTGTTCCTTGTCAAAATCACAGTCGTTAGGATCGACAGGGTAATTTCCAGATGCGTTGCCAAAAACTAGCTGAAGATTTGTGCCCGTTGCCGCAAAAGCAATCTCTGTGTGGCCTTCTCGACAGCCATTTTGGAAACGTACTTGACGTTCTTCGATCGGCCGATCTCTATAACCAGTGTACCTCACCTACAAAAAAAAAAGCAGAAATATTAGCAATATACATAAATACATATTAATGTATGGCATGTTTTATCTCAAGAATAACAAATGTAAAACAATCATTAAGATGCATTAATGTGAATTAATTTGAATTTTAAGTTGTATACGTAATTTTAGATTTTATATTTATGTATATGTATACTTTTTTCAAATGTTATTATACATTCAGTGTATATAAATTTAATTTTTAGATTTATTATTAAATATAACATACAGATAACTATAATATATTTAAAACTATTAATAATCATTAGAATCAATGTTTCTTCACATATGATTTTGTTAAAATAAAAAATAAAAAATTATGACAAATGTCACCGACTAAATAATATAGATATAATGGTTTTTCAATGATATAATTTCTCAACAGTAAAAATTGTCAACGTTTTTTAAATAATTTCTTAACAACTAAATAAAATTCATTACTTTCAAATTAATGGAAAAATCTCTATGTCCCCTTATTGTCTCAATATAATTAAGGAATAAATTAATTGACTTGATAATATTTGTGAAGAAAGAAACGTATCGGATTCTCGATCGAATTCTCATTTCGAAAGTTCCTGGTTCATGGAGATTTGTTAAAATACGAAATAAACATAGAATACTAATTCGCTGCTCGTGGGTGATCCGCAGTTGGACAAATTCGAAGAAAGGACGACATTCCTACGGCATCGCGCATTCTGTGTCGGCGAGCGACGGAAAATCCTTTGCTATTCTGATATCTCTGCGCATTACGCCACGTAATTCAAAAGACATTCCTCGAGGTATTCGACCGAGATTAATCAGTGGTAATCAACTTAATGTCGATTTCAAAACAAAGTGATTAATTCTTGGAACTAACGTAGCGACGATTACACAATGTAATTACGACAAGTGTTGTTTAAACTTCTCCGTTTGGATTATTATTTATTCCTCATTGTCTCATTATTTTCCAAAATAGTCTTTGAAGACTGATGTCTACTTCTACCAATAACGATTAACTTTAATTTCGATTTAACATACTTTTTATGTTTTTCTAGTTATAGATAACAATTAGGAAAAGCTAAAAAGTATCTAAATTAAACTGAGATTAAAGTTAATCTACATTGATAGAAATGGGCATAATTCCAAAATAGATTTATTTCAATCTCGATCCAATTTACTATTCATCTTTTTCTATTTCTTAGGCTATTTCTATATCAATATAAAATGATCAATATAAATTGATTTAACTTATTTTTTATCTTTTCCTAGTTCAGAGAATTAGAATAGGACAAAGAATAAATTAAAGTTAATCCGAGGTTAAAGTCAATCTACATTAATAAAAATGGACATCAAGCTCGGTTTCATCAATGTAAGATTTACTTTAATCTGGATTTAATTTACTCTTTACCTTCTTATAATTCTAATTTTTAATTTTAAGAATTTGAAAAAATAACAAATAAACCGAGATTAAAGTTATATATAGTTGGTTTAATTTATTTTTTATCTTTTTCTAATTCTAATTTCTAATTCTAACAATACAAAAAGGAAAAGAATAAATTAAAAGATGAAAAGTAAACTGAAATTAAAATAAATATTACACATTGCATTAGTGGAACTGGATCTTAAAACTAGAAAATATAAAAAATAAGTTGAACCGAGATTAAAGTTAATCTACGTTGGTAAAAATTAGTCTTTAAAGTTTACATTGAGCATAAATTGAAGAACCGTCACATAAGGTTGTCGACTGTAATCTTTGTACAGCTCATATATTTACAAACAGAATCCAATTCGCAACATTTAATCCATACGTCAAGTAGATATATCATAGAAATAAAAGTAGCGTGCCACAAGTAAGTTTTTTTGACGTTTTCTTTAAGGAAATTCATGACTTGCGTCCTACTGTCAAAGATATCACGCATTCGATATTATTTTTTATTCGTTTATCAAATCACAAATGTTCCTCGAAAACATTAATAATCTTTACGTATCGAACATGTCTATTTTCTCTGTGGACTCACCTCGCTTTCGCGACTCAACCTTCTGAACAGCTCATCGCTCTCAAACTTGGCTTTCTGATCGGGCACCACGCGAGGCATCTTGAAGACGAGCCGGGGTGGCCGCGGCTGTTCGTACAGACCCATTCCGTCGAACGGCAACACACCCACCCCCGCATGCTCGCTCATTGCATGCATCATCTTTGATGCCACGAATTTACACTGGACCCTCTGGACGACACTCTCTTTCTTCGTCCTCCTCGCGTATATCACCGAGATCGACTTATAAACTATACGACACTACCTTACTAGCTATTGTATATGTACGAGAGATCGTACTTTTCGAAGAAAAAAAAAATGAAAAGTTCTGAAAGTAGTTTGGATCACGAATCCTCCTTCGCGCGATTCACCACTCTCGATCCATCCATAAGATAACCGCGAGGAGACACTCTCGCCAGCAAGGACACGCACAATGTGGCGCTTCAGTGAAGACTGGAGCATCGAACCGAAAAGCGCGCCGAGTTCCCCCACTGAGTCTCGCTCGCTCCTGGGAGCTCGGAACCGCCTCTGGAGTCTCTGGACCGCCCTCCAGTTCTCCCTCTCTCAGTCGCTGAGCTTCGTCTAGTCAGCCAGCACGATTCAACCCTCCGGAGGCGATATCGTAACACTCGGAGCAGCGAGCGCACCCCGATGCCGAGGGTGAAAGAAGGAGGGAGCTTGTGCAATCTGGTTTCATGATTTTATAAATGGACGGAAGAGGGTTGGTTGCCTGGACTCGGTCTTGCCGTTTATTTTCCAACTGCCTTGAAATGCGTCTTATTTTCTTTCAAATGGGAGATTGAGATCGGAAATTTACGAGGTTTAACGTATAAGCTTTATTAGAGAATCCTTTGTTCAAATTTCAATACGATGTTCCAAACGTTTCTGTTATTTGTCTCGTTCAACAATTATGATCTCGTAATGGCGTTATAAATATGAGTCATATAAAAATTGAATTAAAAAAATAATAAATCGATAAATAATACCTGTTTCATGGACTAATTAGATGATTATTTAATGTTCTTTCTACAGTGACTCAAGTCAAGGGAATTTGAGGGTCAAATTGTTCGAAATTTTTGACAATTTTTATTACAAATGTTGCGAATATGGTTATATAGGAACTTAAAATTGTTTCTCATGACGACGTGTCAACAGTTATGTTATAAAACACGACCTCATCGATGTAACGAATATATTATTGTAAAAAATAGAATATTACTGTATTATAATACAGACGTCCGTTAGTAGGCACAATGATAAGACATACGAATAATGCCGCGAGCGCAGAAGATATTCTTCTAACAAAAGGAGTAATAAACTGTTAGATTGTTAAACAGAATTTTTATGGCTCGAAATTCATCTAATATCAATCCCGTACAACGAATTAAATAAATGTATAAAAGTAAAGCTCTAAACGATATTTATACAACATATAAAGAATAAAAAAAACTTTTTATTGACAAGTCTTATATAAATATACGATATGTGTATACTCTGCTTTTTTTTTCGAAGTCAACGTTTTGCAGTGATATCTAAAACTTCACTTTAGTACATTTATTTGGTTCATCATAAAAAAATGGATGAAAACAAGCAATGTACAAATCTTCAGCTATGAAATACTTAACAATAAATTCTAAAGCGTTTGAAGTTTAGAACGTAAGTAAGTCTTCGCTTTATAGTGATAGATGAAGGAAAAGTTCAAAGATTTTATAGTTAAAAAAATATTTTAAAACATCATAGTACCAATAGTACAAATTGTACAACCGTCTAAAATTTGACTTTGAGTTTAAATAAAAAAAGTCCCTTTGTTGTAATCGAGAATTAATATTTCAAGAATCGTAAATAAAAGTTTATTTAGAAAAAGTTGATTTAAAAAGAAAAACTTTTTATCAATTTAACGTTTTAAAATCCAGTGTTATGAATAATCCTATAAATAAATCGTTTGCAATCAGTTTATAATCCAACAAGGAATTATTTTCTACGACACATTTTTTGCGTAAATGCAAATAAATAATAAAGAATTTTGTTCTATTTCATATGATACAAATAGAACGAAGTTCTGTTGTTTATTCACATTTACACAGATCGTGTCGTATAGGAAATGACACTTCAAGGACTGTCGACACTTGAAAGTTTCCGCAAAGAGAACTGTGAATCGAAACAGAACTGTGAAGAATACCTAGGAACGTACCCATAATACTTCTTGTTATTTCCTCAAAAGACAACCATAAAAATGTTTTTTGCGCGTTTGACAATACGAAGGGACACACCGTTGGGTTTACAGAGCAATATACTGCAGCGGGATCAGCACGAGTGTCCGGATTGGCTGACAGAGTAATGCTACAATGTATACCAAGCAGGGATACAGGAAATACGTGTTGGACAGAGGGGAGGAGAGATGCCCATTTCAGTCGCTGGATGCCTGCTTAGATAATATAACACCACGTGTATCCCCTCGAGGGAGAAGAGATCTTCATCGTTTCTCTCTCGAGTGGCGGGGCTCATCCATTTGAGAGGATCATTGTCAAGGATCCGCGCGCGATTAAGATCGACGACCCTCCGGCGAGCGCGATCCACGGTGTTACCGGTCATGGATACCCATTTATCCTTTTTTCTTCCCTTTTTGTCCCCCCCCCACCCCTGTTACGCTCTTGAGCGCCGATGATATTACAGCTTCAATTCTCCGGTTAATCCAACTATTTCATTTCCAGATAGCACAGAGTCGAAAAAATTCTTTCCCAATTTTCCAACTTACGAAATAAATTCCTATTTTGTCTTGTTTCTGTTCTAAGTATATTTCTGAAAGTCTCGATTTCATTGTTACGTCAACAAAAAGAGATCACCCTGAACTAATTTTCAGGTTCAAAAGATTTTTTTTTTTTAGTCTTTTTCTGTTCCCCTTTTGTATGAGAATAAACCATATGCTTTGATTTTTATACAAATTAAATAATAAATATTACTTAAAGGTAAAATATATATAATATGTATATAAATATGTTTGTATATATTTTTTAATTCCTTTCGAGTTTATTTTAAACAGATTATACATACGTTAATCATAAAGAACTAAAGAAGAACTAAAGAATTTATATACGAATACAAATTTTGAATGGATTAATGGATAAATTATGCTATTTAGATTCATCTCATGTATGTTTAAATATGAAATATACCCGCAAAAAGTATCAATCACTATATTGATCATACCGTATTTTTTGTGGATGAGTTTATTTTCATAAAAGATTAACAATGAAATCAATTCACTGTTACAATTTTATTACTATTCTTTGTAGTAAAATGCAAAGTTTTTACGACGTTTTTTCCATTTTAGGAAAGCAACAATAAAAGAAGAACGTTGAAGGGACCGCACTAGCTGGAGATAACTACAAAAAATTATAATATTTCTTCATTCTATTCTTTCATTGCATTGATTTCTCGGACTCACTTTTTCTGATTTCCACAGGTACGTCACCAAATTTATTGCTGTTATACACGTAAGAATAGAACGAAAGGATTTCTATTATATGCGATATAAAAGAAAACGAAAATCAAGGTCGATTTAAGAGAAAAGAAAGTTTTACAGAAAAAGAAACTCTTGGAAATTATAGTTTTCCAATTTATTTGCTTTTTTTTATCTCTTTCAAAAGAATATGTCATAGCCTTAAAAGAATATATTCGTGACAAAATTAACACTATTCTTTTTTCCTCTTTCAAATACCATTAAAATGTACGATTTGTTCTTTAAAATCCTTACAACGTTTTTGGCCCAACTGAGCTTTTCACCAATTCTTTCCTGAATTAGAAAATGCTTTGGTTGACGTTACACGCTCTCGGCTGTATATCACTAGAAGAGCACGAAACGTCATTAATTCAAGTTTAGTGCAAAGTTGGACCGAAAACGCCATTACAAATACTTCCGCGTAAATGCACTTTTCGCGCAGCGAAAGTATATCTAAGAAAACAAGAATTTTAAAATAAAGATTTTCTAAATGTAACTGATAATATCAAAACCGTGTAATTATTTGCATAAAACGGAAGTTGTAAAAGCGTTATAAAATTGTGAAATAAATATTTAATGTCGAGCTCGCAAGTCGTCGCTCGTGTCGTTTCCTTTCGAGCGCATGAATATCTAAGCATGACGAAAGAGAAATTTCACGCTCGTCTCCGAATCGAGATGAGCGAATCTCCGCCCCTTGCCGTGCACTATTGGTCCAGCAGCCTCCGCCAATCCCAGCATCCTTCTCTTCTCTATCTGCGAGGGGAGGAAATGTACGCACGATGCACACGAGCGCACACACGCGCACGTGCGATGCGTATGACATACTGTTAGCTGCGTACATAAATACGTTCGGGCAAGAAGGGCAAGGAAACATGGTTCAATACGGATTCGTTTTCCTATCCGTCGTTTTGAGAGATTAGCTCTTCATCCGTTTTCTACTTTCGGAGATGTGTACGTATAACGCGTGCACGTGTGCGTATAAACTTCACCCAACTCTTGTCGTAACTCTGCAATTTGCAATTTTACTCGCGCAGGTTTTAGAGAATCTGAAATAAATGTAGATTTATTCTTCAGAAACTTTATGTAAATTTCGAGGGTCCGTAATTAAATTTGCGGTCGCATCTTGTATGTATAAGATGCATCGTCGATTGCGAAATTTTGATTAAGCACATATTTAAATTTTATAAGCTGTAATATACAGATAGAAATATTTTAACTGTACAATTTACACTTGCAAACCTTGATCACTGTATTGTCTATTAATAATATATTAATAATAATATCTATCTACATTTATATATAATTTTTAAAATAAAAGCTAACTTTATATTCTATAAAAATGTTACAACTCTTTACACTTTGTGTATACTATATAGATATAGTTAGATGTATAAAAAGAATAATTATGCTGAAATATTTAAAAATGTAACTAAATGCACACATCTGAAAATAATATTGTTGGATTATCAAAATATTATTTATGGAGGAATCTTAAATATATAACAAGCAACGTTATAAAAAGGTTCGATGTTTTTGCAACCAGTTTGATGTAGTTCGACAAAATTATTTTTAGATATATCTAGCTAAATTTTTAGACACTTCAACAAAACTGTCTTTAATTTCCATGCAGACATTATTAACTGCGTTCAAATTTCTATCTATGCGAAAATCTCACTTTAAAAAATTGTATAATTGTAACTTTAAAAATCGTTTTCAATTTTCTGGATGTTATTAATTAAGGTAACGATAACATAAATATACTCGCTGTATAAAGACCGCCGCACATTTCTCGCGCGTCGAGGGTCGACGGAGATCAATAACGCAGACGTTTCCGCGTTGCCAGAGAAACTTGAACACTCGCGCTATATACTGCAAACACCCGCGCTATCAAACATGCAGGATGTCGAACCGAGGAAGGATACACAACGAGAACGAGCTTTCCTGGCAACGAAGGGCGTACGAGCGTCACCGTTCTAGGGTGAGCACTCATGAAATATAAACGTTACTCTTGATCCAACTCTGTTTAATATTTTATCGGTCAATGTTTCTTTCATTGAAACATCTCTTGATGAAAGTTCCATAAAGATCTAACCAAAACCTCAGTGCTAAAAATGTTCCGTACAGGCAATTTTTAAATCAAAAGCGACAAAATGAATAATATAATATCCCACGAGATTATTTATCTCGTTTGTATAAAAGATTATATAAAAGCTCTTTATAAAAATCGTTTGTCAAATGATATAATTATATGCGTTACATTCGTGCAATTTTTATATTCAATTTGAGAATGTTTAAAGAATTACGTTGTATATTAATTTCTTTAAAGGGCGCGGATCTCTCTCTCTTTCTCTATTTTTAAATTTTACTTTTTTAATAAGATATTGATTTTAATTATTTCATTGTATTTCTCGCAAATGACACTGTGTTGATACCATTACAGTGATTTTTTTCTGTACAAGTTTAAAAGAAAGTTTAAAATAAACACATCTCTCAAACAAGTAACAAACCAAAAATCAAAACTTTATTTGAAAGTCACGAAGGAAAAAAAATAATGATTTTTTATTACAAAATTTGACTGTTCATTGACGTTAAAAATCAAAATAAAATCATTTTAATTTTTTGTTTGTGACTTTGGTGTGTTCCTTGAGATAGAACGTGGACTATACACTATCCGCGTGTAAAATTGGTCGACAAAAATAAAAGAAACAGGATGCGAAGACGGTCAATTTCAAATTTTTTTCATCCAAACAATCACAATATCTTAAAAAGTAGAATCTTCAAGATTTATTGAGAGTTAAATGTTTCACTTCTCCTGATTTTCAGTTTCAAGCTGTCATTGTCAGAAAATTGATGATTACAACTCGTCCTCGTGTTGCTTTGCAGGTAAAGACAGCCAGACCGACGGTAGATGTGAATCCACCGGTAGGCAGACCTCACGTCTCGTTCAACGCGAAGAGATTACAGCTGGAACGCGAACGGCAGGCGCGAATTCTTAGAGATAATTTCATCCTACTAAAGAAACTCCGCGAGATCATGCACCGGAAGCGACGAGTCGCGGAGGACACTCAAAGGGTCCAATGGCAGGAATCTAGATGCGTCAGGGTTCGTTAAGAAGATGTCGACAGGATGTCTCATTTGTCTTTGTATTACTTGCGATTTTACACACAGTTCTAACGAACAATCAATCTCTAACGACTCTTTTTCTACCTTGATACAATCATTTATCTCTGTCGCTGTGAATTTCTATAATAAATACTTTCAGCAATATTTCCAAAACTGCATTTTCGTTCTTTCCTACATCTCGAAATCGCGAGATCAATAGTTAATTTGTTAAACCGAACAGAATTTGAATTATTAAGTATATAGTTCTCAATTTTTACACATTTTTTCATTCTTCTGAAGATAAATTATGCAATATTTTTTAAATTATTGCAATACAAAATTTAATCAATTTTATTTTTATCGTGTTAATATCTGATATATTTCGTTTAATTGATTTAATTGATATTTTAAGTGTCAATTACTTTGCTGAATAAAATCACGTTATAAAGCCGATATTATTAAAAATCACGTTGATACCAATTTGTCTCTCTTTTGTTTTAAAATTCTAATCGATATATGAATTATTTGATGTATCGTCATTAATGTATCAAGGAGAGAGGCTAGAGTTTTGCAAATAATATCGTATTCTCTTTCAACGATAATGTACGCAAAAATGTTAGCATTTTTTGTATTAATACATATATATTTCTAGTTATTTGAAAATTTTACTCGTGATACATTATAGCCAAAGTGTACCGATGTAAACTTGATATAATTAGGATAAACGCGGATTAATCTTCTGTCAGTTCATTAATCTTCATTAATAGGTATTATTAAATTCTTCATTAATATTGAATATATTAATGTTATTAATGACAATATGTCATCATTATTATATATAAAGTTATCATGTGTGCATTCTCATTCCTTGATTCGACTAAGAACAAATGGAAGACGAAAGCTACAATGAAGAAGAAGCCGGCGAGAAGTTTACTGAAGAGAAAGATTACTACGATGAAGAGGACCAATCCAAATATGAATCAACGATTTCGTTGGACGAGGCCGAGCGTGATGCACGCGTGTTGACACACGCCGAGGCCGGTGAGTGTCTTCACAACTTAGGAAAATGTATCACGCAGTACGAATACGCCTATCTCAGTCTGGACGCCTCGGACAGAGACCTTACGGATATCAGCGTGATAGCGTCCTTCAAACACGTTCGTTACGTGAACGTATCGGGAAACAGATTGACGTCAGAAGCACTGCGTGCACTCGAGATGATACCATATCTGCAGACACTGCGAGCGGACCGAAATCGTCTGACCAGCGCGGAGTTAAAGCCGATGTCCTACCTACAGGTGACCCCGTCACCCTTTGACTCTCGTTCAATGGGGTTTAAATTCATCGAGAAACGCCGAACGTACTATAGACAATAGATCTGTACTAGTAATGTCGATTCTATCTCAATGTAATTTAGTTGTAATCTCGGTTCATCTTACTCTTCTCACCTTTTTCTAATTCTTCGAAATAGAAAAGGATAAAAGATAAGTTAAATGGAGATTTAATAATATTAAGATTAGAATTACTTTGAGGGAAATATTATTGCTTCGATTTTATACTATATTGCAAGTCCGAAAATAATCGGCGTGTATAGTCGTGTATTTCCGATATATGTATAAATTCATTTAAAATACATTCATTAATCATAAATTCACCTCAAAATATACATATAGATTTCAACATCTTGAACTATAATAAACGCTTTTCTTAGATCTGCGACGCACGATGCATGTTTGTTTACTGGATTCCTTGCGTTTTAATAAATTATTAGAAATTCTGCGTTCTCTGTATGACGCAATTGTAATAATTTACTAAAACGCAAGTAATCCAGCAGGAAATAAAGCTGCAGGCTTTACTTAGGGATCCAGGAGACTAATTATTTCCAGAAATTAAATATTTTCGTATATAAAGTTAATTAACATTAGTTTTATAATTGGACGTTAAAAGTATTATAAACATAAGATGGTTTCAAAAATGTAGGAGCTCGCTCTGAACTGGAATAAGCTGACGGATACGTCCGACATTTGTCATAAATTGCTCGAGCGTCTAGAGTTGAATCACAACGATATTCGTACAGTGAATATGGATCCTCAGATCCTTGAGAACTTGAGGACTTTGGAGCTACGCGGAAACGCACTCGTTAGTACTACAGGTGAGACTAAAAACGAGACCATTATATATTTAGCTCTTGAAACTAACCGTTTGCTGCGGATGATTGTAAAAATCTGTATAAAAAGGATAATTTTATTAAAGTATCTAAAAATTTAGCTAAATATAGAAAGACTCGAAAATAATTTTATTGAACGCTCAAACTGGTTGCCAAAGTGTTACAACTTTTTACAGTATTGGCTCATCACGCTTGTGTTTTAATTATTTTGATGGTCCAATAAAATTGTTTGCAGATCTCTGTAAAAACAATTTTCTTGAAATATGTATCTATAACTAAATTAGATACATATTTCAAGAAAATTGTATATGTATCTAACTAAATTTATAGATACATATTTCAAGAAAATTGTTTTTTCTGTTTGGAAGGAAAATGTCTTAAACAGTTAAAAACTCAGTGAAGGAGAATCCCGAAGGCCAAGAATAACTTCCTTCTCAGTGGAAAATGACCCATCGAATTGATGTCAAATCGACATCGATACAATAATTTCAAAGTCAATACAATGTCGATTCAATGTCTAATTAATGGTCATTTCTCGCTGGACTTTGAATAGTATTCAAATGTTACTTCTCGTAGGAATCCGCTGTTCTAATCTAACGCGGCTCTTTCTGGCCGAGAACCAAATCGAGAAGATCGAAGATCTCGGAGTCCTCATGAATCTGATGACGTTACACTTGCGAAGTAACAAACTCGCGAATCTAGATGGTTTCACTGAGCGATGTCGCAACTTGAAATATGTGAATCTGCGCGACAACGAGCTTTTGAGAATTTCAGAGCTGAGGAAGTTAGATTGTCTACCAAATCTGGAAACGCTTATCGTCCTGGGAAATCCTCTTCTGAAAGAAGAAAAAGAAGAGAAGGAATACAGGCGAATCATTCTGGCAATGCTTCCGAAATTGAAGAGAATCGATAAAGATCCTGTTCTAGATCAAGAAAGAAACGAGGCAAATGAGTTGCTTAAAAAAATACCAACGAACGAATCCAAGTTTGATGACTTCGATTTGAGAAATTAAAAACTACACTTTGAAACAAACAGATCAGATATTTGATCGTATACGTTATCATTAATTAAAACATAATTTCAGGTCTTATTAGTTGTAAAAAAAGTCCTTTCTTTAATTAATTATCGTCATTGTTATGTATTAAAAATTTATTAGTATTATTTATTTAAAGAAATATCAATTAATGTCTAAAAAAACCTGTTTTTATATTATCAATTTAAATTGCACTTGTAATTGTAAATCATATTGCGCATTGCAATATGCACAAGTTTTTAGCATAGATAATAAATATATAAATAAAATAACTAATTTTTTCTTAAGTTAAAACTCAAAGTGATTCGTCAATAAAACTCAATTTAACGAATTTTAAAGATTTGAGGCTGGAATAAAACTGTTGAATATTGCGATAATTTAGTTTGAGAAATATTCAATATTTCCGCGAGACACCCTTTTATAATCCATAATTCTTATACCAACTTGCGCCATCTCGTGACGATAATATGTAGTATTAACGTATTTTTGAGAGTTCCTTACTTATCGAGTTTATTTAAATTATATACATTGGATCGATAAATGGGCCGATAAATCAGATTATTACTATGCCTAACAAATAAATTAATGCTGTACTGTTCGGACGATTTATGTAATTCATATATTAATGTTATTTATGTAATAATAATAATTATTATATAATAATTATCATGTAATATAATGCCAAATCTAGTCACATTAAATTTATTTTTAATTAATTAATAATAAATATTAATTAAACCGGTTGCGTCTAGCAAAAAAAAACCAAATTTGCAATTGTTGTAAAATTCTTTAATATATGATTGAGTAATTTTTAAGTTTAATCTTCTTACCTCCAATGTTGATAAAATTAGATTCATTCAACGCGTTTTTGCACGAAATGAACGAATCTGGAAAAAAGTGACACTCTCTGCTTCCTGGACCAAGGTATTAATCGTTAAAATTGAATTCTAATTTTATCAACGTTGGAGATGAGGAGACTGAACTCAACAATAATTGGTTTATTGATTCATAGATTCAGTGAAGAGCATTAGGGATATGAGATCAATCACATTTAAAAAATTACAATAGTTGCAGAGTTGCTTTTTTTTTAACGCAGCCAATTATTCGGGGTAATTACGATGAGCAATTTCATTATTAAGCGCATTTCATTATTCACGATTTCCTCTAGACTGCTTATTTATACAAATATAAATTATCCGATAAAAAAGACAAATGATCAATGATACCCAAAATGTTTCATGTAATCCTTACTTATCTATTTTACATATGTAACACACACGACTGAATAAAATCAGAATAATTATTTGTAATTGCCCGTTTCGATTCGAACATGGCTACCGGATCCGAAAGTCTCGTCCAAAGTAATCGCGATAAAATTGGGAACACACGAGACGGAAAAAGGCGAATCATATCCAGTGCTAATATTAATGTCGACGAGCAACAATAATAAATGCATAAACGTACCTCTCAACGGCAATTTTCTCCTTATTTCCGGACTCGAAGGACTCCCGCATTTTCGCGAACAACGCGCGCGATAAGTACCGAACGGTATCGAACAGTCACCGCCGCCAGCGATAATCGAATCTCGAAGAGTCACGTGATCCAAAACGATCTCGCTCGCTTTCAGCCGCTTCGGCGCAACGTTCTCGCGCCTCACGGTGGTGGTATCCGGTGGTATCCGGCGTGTCGTACAGGTTATCGAATCGGACGTTCACAATCTCATTCGCCTTCCACGCACACCGATTCAAGCACAACGCACCGAAGCACCATGTCTGGCAAGCCCTCGTATAAAATCGGTAAGTGTCAAATGTTACGGACGAATAAATCGCGAGGTATTTCGAACAAAGCGAACGCGGAGTACACGTGCTCGTACTCGTGTGGAGATTGGAGCAACGTGAAGTACTCGCCGCTCCGATCAGTAATGGCACGAGCGAGCGCGCGAAATTATTTTAATGTCGCGTATATGATATTAAGTTTTTAGTTACGCAAGCGTGTCGCGAGGGTGATTATAAGTTGTTATGAATTATATGTCTGTTAAAAATATGAATACTTTAAATTTAGTCTTCGGGTAACCTTCGGTTTACCGATTGGAATGATAACCGACGTTTCTCATTAAAATTTTAATGACAGTGACGTAATAGAATATAAAGCAATTTTCAGAACGTTGATAATAATAACTAAATGAGATTTTTGTTAAAATTTTTATAACGATGATGTAAAATATAAAAGAAACTATTTCATAATGTTGCGAGTAGATAGTAATATATTTGTAAGCCGCTCTGCATATTTTGTTATATATAATTAAATATAACAAATACGTCTTTTGTAACAATGCATTTTCTTTTTTTGATAATTATTATCTTTACTTTTTGTTAATCAAGTGATTAGAAAAAAAATATATATATATAAGCTTATATGTATAATTTTTATGTCTAATATTAAATTATTAACTCATATATCATTGATATATAAAAT